AAATCGCATTGTCGGGCCAACACTTCACGTCGTCCCCTGTCTCCATAGAGAGTTTACCCTCCTCGACCTACGACCTTTCTGATAATCCTTTCAAAGCACAATACGGCCCCGCACACACATCGCTGAGAGCAGACGAAACTTGGATTAAACCAACCAGAGATCGAGCGATGATCTTCCACTGCTCCTGAACAATAGTTTTCCTTAAATTGCGATGACTGTACAATTTTTGCTGGAGCTCACCACTTGATTTGTTCGCTTGCTGGAGTGCGGAGCTAAAATGGTGTCTGTTAACAACCACCACGCATCGAATACCAGGATAATTTAGCGGTCAAATAATGTTCGTTGCGAATGATGTTGAAGCAGAAACAACTCCACCGTTCGAGTGTTTACATGAAGAAATTTATAAACGATATTTTTGATATGCGCGCTGTAACCAAAACCGTTAGTCATAAATATCTGTACCAGGCATATCTTCAAGTTCGGTGTTACTCGCTGCAGAGATGAAGGAAGACGATCAACACCATGCCCCGAGCGCGTAATATCGGGCCCCCCCCCTCCGGTGGCGCTCCCAGTACAAGGAGGACATACAGGTCATAAGTTCACATGACATTCCACTGATTCTGTTCGGTGTGGGTGTCAACTTATAGGTTCCTGTGCTTAAGAACCGTTCTTAGCACTATTCTGCTTGAACTCGTACAAACGAACGATCTTGAACAGTAATTTATTGTATTAACATTACCCATTTTGGAACGTATTGCGATAGCCATGAAGTCTAGTCTAATCTGTGAAGAGAAACTCGTGCGTTAATTTACAGGGTTCCATAACGTACTGCAGCACTTTATTATCTTTGAACCTCTTCATAGAGTGGACTGATTTTCAATGTGATCATGTCACTACTACTCTACACTACATTCATCTAGGATAATTCCCATAACGCTGTGAGGCTCAGCTTGACTCACAAACGCATACGCTTTGTCCCGCATCGTCATTACTGCGATTATGTACTTAAAACTGCCCTAGAAAAATTCAGTCCTTCTGTAGAATGCACTATTTAGTGCAGCCCGTCCACCTAATTATATTCAAATATCGATAGCATGGCAGGATTGATATTCGAAAATACATGAGACCATTCGCTGATGAGGCAGGTGGGTGTCAATGTCGTTTTGAGAGATATGAATCGCGTCAACCAGTCATTCATGAATTCGAGTCCTACAACAATACCTTATGCCAAAAGCTTGATTACTTTTGGAAGAATGATCATTCCTCCTCGGTAGAAGTCTAGATACGGCTCAGTAACATGTGGGGAGCACCAGTTAGCGACTTTCGTCTAGCCTATTTGTATCGTAGTTTCATATCGCTTTAACAGCAGTTTTGGTGAGAGATCGGGTGATTGAGTCCCATGAACAAATCGGATAATGATATCGGCCGGTGCTTGTTGGCGAATAATTTTTCCGATCTCTCAACTGGCCTCACGACTTATAGCAATCGGCTACCTCGAAGCTTGGAAATCGTTAGCTCTTAGCTTCACTGTATAAAGTTTTGTCGTGCGATAAAAATTGACCTCTCTATTGACGTCTTCCTCACACCACCTCTTTGAAATTTTTTGTCTTGCTGTGCTCCCCTTGGCGGATGGCAGTGTGCTTATGCCCAGCTATAATAAGGTAACATGAGCGGTTGCAAGGACCATCCATACCAACTGTGGTTTTGAACATACAGGTCATTAAGTCTAATCATTTGTCAAAGCACGTGGGGTGAGGTATTCGGTTCGCTTCAGTCGCGCCTTCTGAGATTCCAATGATGTACGAACTGTGGTGCGACCACAACAATAGACGGATTCTTCTTCAGGTATATAAAAACAGGTAAGCAAAAGCGAGAAGATCCATAGTAAGTCACGAATGTTAATTCACCGTGATTCCGAACCTACTGTGTTGGAGATAGGCACCTTCTAAGTTTTAGGTCGCACCATGAGAGCTCAACGAAATAAGTAACGAGGCTTTTCGGCGAGGTATATCACATGAATTCATTAGAGAAGATATGCTAACTTGGGAAATGAGCTACAGCTACACTCAGCATAATAGTTAGAAACCTCAGAATGATGCATTAGTATTTTAATGATACACCTCTCAGTATGGTTGGGATGTGCTCAACAGATAACCGCCGACAGTGAAAGTGAAGAATCAGAAAAGAAAACTCTATAGTTAGCCGTGTCCTGTTAATTTGAAAAACCTTTGCACTTTTTATATTTTCAATAGGGCACATTTTTACAGTCCGATGACGATAATATGTCAATACATTAACTTGATTCAAAAAGCACGATTTTCCATTCTCTTCTGCAGGAGCTCCCTTCTTCTTCAAGTGGTGGTAGAGGTGGCATGGTTTTTAAACTCGTCTATGAATTTCTGGCTTCTCTCCTTATACCTCAAGGGATGTTTTGCCTGAAATGATGTTATCAAGATGAGGGATGCATTAGCGGCCATGAGGGAAACGACTACGTACAATGAAAAGGATCCACCAACATGAAGTGTGGAAGGGTCTCTTGAACCACACTCACTACATACGTAAGGACCTGGGTACTTACACGTATGTAATCAATTACACTGTAGGCAACAAAAATATATAGCGAGTCATTAGGTATGCATCCTGATCTCTGATCGCGGAGTTTCTTCAAGAGCTCGTCCATCTGGAATTATTAATGTAAAGATAAAGCGCAGAGCAAGTAAAACGTGTTTTGCTCTGTTGACTCTGCGCTTTTATGTGCCTTTCTTGATTTTTTCCTGCTTGCATCTTCCCTAATGAAGAACAGTGGGTAACGGGACCCAACCAAGAAAGCCTTTGTGGTTTATCACAAAAGATTTGTTGAGTAGCAAGTTCTCATACCAAGGGATGCATTAATGAGGTCTCGAGAGCACCTTAAACGTTGCTTTTGCAGCTGTTTCATGATGGCAGCATCGAAGTACTTGTCAGCATGTGTTTCACTACTACGCCGTTGCCAAGTGACCCTGACGAGTAGGGGAGTCATTCGATGAAAACGCCCTTCAGTTGGTAGCAAGATGTGTTAACACTATCACGTCCCCGACAAATGCTGGGCGGAGCCGATGAGATTTAACCAAGAGCCCACTTGTCACCTGCTAGCGCAGTTCCAAGCCTGTTCTGGCTTCAGAAGTGTTTTGAGCACTTTAGTTCTATACTAAAAATCTTCACTGGCACTGCGTTTCCAAACATTCACTATGAATTTCTCGAGTACGAAGGATATACCTGGGCGACCTAACGTGGTCATCGCCGCGGCGCTATCGATGTGATGCGCCAGACTGGCCATGAACTCACCGCAGGTCTCTACCTCCAAGGAATACAGCATTAGCGTTGAATGAGCAGCAGCGATCACCTCTACCTTGATTCTAATAGGCTGATTGATCGTTAACTTCGCCCTTAATTTTCTACCAATAAGGCAGCCGCTATTCCGCTGTATGCATTTGAGGCATTCATGGAAACACTGAGCCGCAGCAGACTCAGCGTCTTTGATATTATTGGCCATACTTCGATAGAGATTCTAACACACCACTCCGGCAAGTGTTTTGGTAGCTATCGTATCTCCTTCGTTGAGAAATAGCTCTGCTTTAATGCCTTACATCAATTCGTTGTCCCTGAGAAGAAGCACCTTAGCATTACATCGACCATTACGATACAGGCCGACCTCCCGATGCCTGCTGAACAATGAACAACAGACAGGAGCGCATTGTCCAATTTGCTCTGCCTGTAAAATCATTGATTGACAGTCAAAATTCGAGGTGCAGGGCAACGAAAGAAGAGCAGACAAGAGGAAAAAGGTTAGCAGTGCCATATGTTTATCGATATATACCTTTGAAAGTTTACTAATCTATAAAGATTCAAGGGTTTGTGCTGAGACGGTTGAAGCGAGCAACATACAAGTGTTTTTGATCATTTCAGACCCTGATCAAGGCGCAGAAGCCCAAACAGTGCAATTAAACTTTATTCTCCGACAGCTTGAAGAGTCCCTTCTGCAGATTTGGGCATACGAAGGGAATGCTTTCCCCTGATTTGAAAAGGAAGCAAACACTACACAACAAAGAAGATAGCAAGAAACACTGCTACGTGAACTTTTTGAGAGTACCGACCTTCAAAGTTGCCAGCAAAACGATGTTCGTCTTTATGCAACGGTTGGCGGGGCGCAGTGGTAGAAGGTTCTCGCTCTGCAGGCGGTAAGTCGTGGGTTCGCTCCCCCTGGAGCGAAGGTTTTTGCTCATTGTTTTCCATATCCAGCAAAAGCTGTTATGCCAAAGGCTATGTAATGTCAACGTCTACTCTATTGAGACCTGGTAACGACTCCCATTTTACACTTGTCCATCGCACGCTCCTGTGATTAGCTATTCCCCCGTTCCACTTCAGGACCGTCATGGAGGTCAGCAACGAATTTCGCGGCAGGCTCATTTCTCGTGATTCGGAGCTTCGCTTTCTTCAAGTGAGCGACTTCAGCGTAAAGTATCGAAACTACCTTTGCAGAGGAGAAAGGCATGATCAATGAAGATAAATCGATAACATTTTAGCAAGTCCATTTGATCTTTCGCGTCAAACATTTGACCCATATCCGCTCGGTTTAAGGCGCCTGTTTCGAATGAANGTCATTTATTGGAATAACATAGCCTTTGGAATAACAGCCTTTGCTGGATATGAAAAACAATGTGCAAAAGTATTGCTCCAGTGAGGAGCAAACCCAAGATCTACCGCCTGCAGAGCGAGAGCTCTACCACTGCGCAGCCACCGTGGCTTGCTAGTGGATTAGCTGTTCTAATGAGATGGCGTCCGTTTCTGCCAACTTTGAAGGCTCATAACTTTCTTAGAAAGTTCACGTAGCAGTTTAGTGTCCATATTTGTAATCAGCGTTCAAGACTCTATCGATCTACCTAGGTCTTCCTTCAAAGTTCCATGGGAAGTTCAAAACATTCCCTTGTCAGAAGGCATGAGGCTAAGGAGCGTCTGCATTATTGGAACATACAACTGGACGATCTCGCACAAGCATCGTCACTTACCACAACCTTCCTCAAGAGCCGAAGAACATGTCGACCGCTAGGTGGCACACCTTTATCCGGCCAATTGGTCATGTGAATTAGTTTAACAATATGCGAATTTGAGCAGCCATCAGGAAGCAATTCGACGGTGTAAATGAGGAAGTTGTCGTCATGATCTATCTGAACCCATCTGATTTGTTCAGCTTAGTAAGAGATTTTTAAGAGCGATATTTTAGTACTACTTCCCCTTTTCTCTCTATCTAGATGATTGGCCCTTTTTCAGTAGATCAAATTCATATAAGACAGTCATGTCCTTTCAATCAAGGTCTGGTCCCCGGGAACACTGTTGTGAAATCCTAATTCACCTTTTTTGTGTTGACAAACATCTTGTCGTATGTGTGAAAACTTCCAGCTTTCAGGGGCCAATAATGTACACACTTCAAGTTCTCTATTTCGACAGGCTGAAAAGTCAGAGAATAAATCAAGTGAGACTCGCGTTCGTTCACCTTGAAAGCAGAATTTACGATGAAAAGTTAGCTCATTGGAAATAAGGGTAGAGGTGGTCAGTGGAGCAGGGATGAAGAAGAAACCATTTGAAACGGCCCGAACCCGAGAAATGGGACCCCTTCCTTGCCCGTTGATTTGCGCATTGATGCGACTCTCATCGCTCTCTCTGCTATCTAATCACTCGCCACGTATAGACCTGCGGCGAGTGATTAGATAGTCGGTGGGCGTACCCCGCCAACCGCGCCAAGAGTGAGCCATGCTAGATCGCCGAGGTCAAATCTTTCGCTGCCAATTGCGCGTCGGTCAGCACCCTCAGGAGGTCCGCCTGTCTCCCAACTATGCAATTTTCCCCTTTGTTTGACCTTCGTTGGTCCCGAGTGGTATTTAATTACAGTTCAAATAAGGCTCTCAATGCGGAGGCCTGCAGACATGATTACAGGAGGTTGTCTCATGACAGCAAACCGATACCAACCAACGGAGTGGTGAAAGTCTTGGCAACGGTCAAGCTCTTGGATACTTGTGCAGGTAGTGTCTTCAAAACCCGTCAACTCCCCCCTCGGTGAAACCACCTGCTTTGTTTTTTCATCAGCTCTGCATAAGTTCCATGTCATGTCTAAGTCCGCTACGGAGTGGTGGCTTGTGCGCGTACTCCTGCACCTGCAGTGATCGAAACACTGTGTATTATTCATACCAATTCAAGTTTTCTTCAAACACTTTCGTAATGCTTGCTTTTCTGCATGTCGCTATAAGGTCTTTCACACGCCACTTCATTGTCAACGCCTGAGCGGGCAAGGAAACGGAGTGTCTAGCGACACGCGGAGACTGTAACACATATGCATCGGCACTCACTAAGATCGCATATTTAAACCCTAATGCTTTTTTAACGTTAGGCTCTCCTACACCTTGTTTTCAATACACATCCTTCCAGCGATACGTACGTTTAGATAGACAGCTATGAACGATACGCGGTTAGTGAAAAGTGTATGATGACACTCCAGTGGTTCACATAGTATGGCTGCCAGGTCAGCGCCATTGGAGATGCCTATCAAATTATCACAAATTACCTGCGTGAGATTAACGATGCTTGAACAGTTTTCTTGGAACACCATGCGCCAGAAGTCGCCTATTGTGTTTGCCAGTGGAGCCTGAAACTGCACCGTTCACTGCTGAGATGGCTAAGTCGTGTGGAGAAGCAGGGTCAACCGTGACGTTCGCACATTTTCCAGGAATTCGCGACCCCCTCCTTTAGGGGGGTCTCGATGCGACCCCCACCACCACCATGAGACTCAGGAGGCTCCCCCCCATTACAAACCCTGCCAAGCTCACCCCGACCACCACCCTCGCCACATGGCTTGTTCTATAGTATTTGATTCTGAGAGATCAAGAATCAGAGAGCCACACACAGCGCTCCAGCTCGCCATTTCCTCCATTAGGCCGATGTCAGACTTTGCGAATCGCGCGATTCGCTACTAGCGATTCGCGCGATTCGCGTCCGCGGTCGCGTTGCGGTACCAGCCAATTGAGTGATTCACTGGCCGCGACGCGACCGCAGACGCTAGCGAATCGCGCGATTCGCAAAGTCTGACATCGGCCTTAAGGACGAGGGGGAGGGAATATATGTACTGTGCATTTGAACGGATATAAAATTTTCTCTCTCTTCACCTACCCTCTTGTCCTAACCCCATTCCCCACCCCACGCTGTACATTTATCCTCACATCCTCCAATATCACTCAAAAACCGATCTAAAGTCCGCCTCGCCCTCACTCCACTTAACACAATATAATCCAATTCCACTACCAATGCGAATCCCCCTCCCCCAAATCAAACACAAATTGAGACCCCTTTTCGAAAAGCTGCGAATCGCGCGGGTTGAAGCATGGAGAGAGGAATCACTCAATAAGATGGACAAAGATTTGTACGGGTTTGTGCGAATCGCGTTCAGCAACCGATCTATTGGTGGCAGCATCATTATTATCCTTGTGAGAACACTTTCTCTGTTAAAGAGCGCTATTTTAGAGGAAGTAAAAGTCTTGGTAAAGCGTTGGTGCTGCCGAAATGCGAGCGAGCGAAAGTACGGTTCTTCTTTAGCGCAGTTCACACCTGTGTCATGATAAATGCTCTGTTGTGCTTCTCAAACTTCACCCAGTTGGCATGAATGTAGTCTGTTAAGGGAGGTGCTTCATGATGTAGAACTACTCGTGTTGCATCCAGGCAAACGATATCCTGAAATGTTCTACTTGAAAGGAGCATTAATGTGACTGAAAGGCATGGTGGTCTGCATGAATGGGTGCTTGCTCTTCAGCATTTGAACCGATAAACACACAATATGTTGACTATTACGTACGTTGTAACGATTTCTGTCTGGATTTGCGAGAAATGCATCATGTTTGTAAAGATCATCCGAACATCTGTACGACGAAACTGTGCTGTACTCCTGCTTAAGTCCATCTATACCTAAAATCGGACAGGTAACACAGGAGAATACACTTCTACACTTTATATTGCTCGAGTAGCTCTGTTCTAGGCACGGAACCACACTCAACCGTCCGTTCTGCCGATCCAGTCTGAGCTATTTTTGAAAGGGAAGCTGTGTGTAATTCGGGTAACTTAGTGTTGATAGGGGCACAGTTTCTCAAATTGATGGAACCGTGGTTGTTTGAGGGGGTCATTTTTGGTGGGTTTTTGGCCACTTTTTCGAGGTCCCATAAGCCAACGGTGGCGGGGGTCGCATAGAGACTCTCACAGGGGAAGGCTGTAAAAATTTTTGAAAGTAGCCGAGTGCCATGGTTGACCCCGCAGCCGCTTGCAGTTAGTTTTCGCATGCCTCGAGTGTCACACTATCGCAAACAGTGGTAAGTTCACAAACCAAGTTCAAATTGGTGTGGCATGGGAGGAAACATTGGTCTGTCGGTATGAAGCGTTGGAATGCAAGTGGCACGAAACTAATAGCTCGTTTCACAGCAGCATTAAGGCGTTGTTCCCTGAGAAAAGACGTAGATGGTGGGACGGAAGCATGTATGTGGAGGGGGGGGCAGAGAGTGATACTGATAAGGGGTGATGTGAACGAGCAGCTCGAGGACGGGGATTCACTGAAGTTGTCCAGTTGCGCGATGAGAAAGCATTCCGTTTCAATCGCCAATATCAGGAATCTTTTCGACCGCTAACCTTTCCAATCATCACAAGATGGTCGGTGTTCATGAAAGCATGATATGCTGTTTGGTGTGTTTCCATTGCAATATCATTACCACCAGAACTTAACCGCTAAACTCCCCAGCTCAAATGGTATACTCGAGATCCGTAAGTTGGGGTAGGCGTGTCACCGGAAGTGACGTGTACTTGATAGAATCTATGTGGATAAGCTGCTTCCAACATACATCGCTGGATATCAGCAAAG